ATTTAAGTTTGCATGGGATATAGTTGACTTTGTTGTGAGTGGAAAACGTCTAAAAAAGCCATCTTATCTAAACAATGACATATACAACATTGTGAATGATATGTGGTGTCAAGACGTTTGCGATAGAATAAAAATGAACGACGTGGTATTAAAACTGGAAAACATCAACATATAATTTAAAGTCATTATTGTTTGTCAATTTCAATTTTTTGTTTAAAAATCTTTCAGAACCAGTGTTATTTTTTAACCTTTTATTGTTATATACATTCATAAAATTAATTTAACCTGCCAAAAGTATTTTTTGGCAAAATGTATGAGAAAAAATTGCGTTTTTTTGTTTAATAAATATAAAATAAATAAAAAATCTACAATTTAATTATATTTAAATTTGCTATTGTTTGAAAGGGCATCTTATAACAATTTTTACGTAGTCAACACTACAACAAGAGATCAACCTCCAAGTTTTTACGACTATTATAATGCGATTTTAACTTTGGGTCTGAAATATGATCGACCATTTTTTCTAGACACTAGTAATGAGTAAAAGAAAATTTTATTTTAACTGTAACAACATTGGAGTGGCAATTCAAAATTATTACAAATATTTTTTGTTGATTTGTGCGGCAGAATGGGTTTGCAAAAGAATTGTTAGTAATTTTATTTAAAAACACAAAAAAATCAAAAAATAATTTTACACATTATATCTAAAAAATAATACAGTCAAAGTTTGTTTAGAAAAGATATAATTACAATTTATTAGGATTTGTTTTTTTTCTAAAATGGATATAATTTTTAATAAGATGGATACGATTTTTTTGAGAAATGAATTGATTTATTTAAGATTCAGTCAAATACAAACAATATACTTCGAATAGATACTTTCAATGAGTATTCAGTGAAAGGCTTGTACACCAAGCCTGATGGTTCTTGTGGTGTTCTTTTATGTAACACAAACACTTCACTGATTTATTTTAGAAAAGTTGACGAAATAGGAAAAGAAGTGTACACCAAACATCTTGAGCTTAAACAACAGTGGATCTCTTCGAGTGTTCTTGCTGAATCAGATAAAGGTTATGGCATTAGTGACAGTCGTGTAAATTATGGAGATGGGAAGTTCCAAATATACACGCACGTCCACAGCGATCCAACAGAAGACAACAAACAAGGACACGAAGGAGATGCTCTTTTCACAGTGACAGACGACGGTGAAGTAGAAAAAGTGTGGCCATGGGGATGCAGTCATATGATGTCTGGTTTACAGGGTTGGAATAATAACACCAAAACAATGATTCATGTATGTGACTCTGACTCATATCCAGGACTTGGTATATTTGCAGAGAATTCAGACCAGTATACTCTTTATCAACATGCGGCCAATAGAGGTGGATGTACAGCCGGGGAACTTGGTGGTATTGAGTAAAATGGAGATGGATGGGTTCTAATATTCAACTCGATTAAACCGGAGTCTACCAACACGGAAAATACTCGAAGTCAAGTCCAGGAAATGCTGATTGCTTCAATAGGAAAGAATAAGAAAAGAATCAAAATCGACAACAATAAACAGAATGGAGAAAGAAAACAAAATGGGTGCATTGCCAAGTATGGTAAAAAGTTCTTAATTGGATATCAAGAAGGTAAAGAATATCACTTGGAAGCTATGAATGGCGATATGCAACTCACAAACAAATTTGAAGTTGTCACAGATGTTACGGGTTGGGGTGATAGAGATGACTCTTTCAAAAAATTCCAAAATCGATGAATTTTTTGGGTTAGAGCACCACAAGATAAAGGAGATAAACTTGTGATATCCGAATTTAATGGAATTGACGATGGGGATAATGTTGATTTTGGATATATATAAACCACTGCATTGGTAATTGGATTACTGGTATTGTTGTTGTAATTCAATTTATTTTTTATGAAATGGTTCGCTTCTATATTTTCATTTTAATAATATTCACACAACCTAAAGTTTCAAAAATAACTGTTTTTATTATTTTCGATTTAAAAATAAAACCACTTTTAATTCAAAATACGTTTGAAATGTTTATATTTCTTGTTTTAACACTTTATATTACAAACCAAAGAAATTCAAGTAGTTCAAAAATCAAGAAATTTAGTTATTATTTTTTTAACTTTTTTTTAAGTTTTATATAAAATATCATCTCTTCAATTACTTTATTATCGAATTATCTTTGAAAATTATTAATTAAATTCAATAAAATAACAAGGTAATCATTCAATAATAATCAAACAACTCTTTCTTTTTCTTCAGTTTTTCATTGCATATTCTTTAACCATTATGAATCGCTCAAAATTATATTCATAATTTGAGCGCTCAAACCTCCGTGAATTTTGTTGATTTGAATACTATATAATGCTATTTAAACGCGAATCATTAATAAAGTTTGATCCATGTTCGTTATAATTGTAGTCCGTTCACAACATAGAAGCACTCTTTTTAATAAAAGAGTCATAATGGTATTATAAATGTCAATTGTAATAAACCCTCGTATTTAAATATATTGCATTAACAAATAAAGTTGTGATTGTTTGCTATTTAAGCAATGTTCATAAATTGTTTGAATATCATTTATAATTACCATGAGTATGTATCGGAAATAAGTATAGACTCTTTTGCATGTAGAAGAGTCATAGTGATGATATTGTGTTTGTGGTGGATTTGAATTGTAATATAAACCATGTAAATTTTTATTTACATGATTTGCCGACTCTTCAAAAGCCGGCCTATTATTGGGTGCTTATATTCTATGTGGTTAATATTTTAAATGTTTAACAAGAAAAAACAACCCGTGTATAATATTTAAACAAAGCTTGCATGACCAAATGGGAAGGCGTTTAATTGATTTTAAATAATGATACAATGAAGAGAGTATTTATAAATAATTTCTGCTACTCTCAAGTTAGTGACGCCTTCGAACACGTGTTGTGAATTAAATATGTTTATTTTTTGTCGTTTTTAATATAATTTGCACACAACACATCAATTGTATGATTCTTAAGACACATAAAGAATATTCTTGTTATGTTTGTTTTCATTTTAGTTACATTGTCAATTATATCTGATGTATAATTTGGTTATTATCAATTTTCATTGTTTCCATTAATATGTATATGGAAACCATTTACAAGCTCTTTTGTTTGAAGCTTATATTGTAACTAACTCCATTTAGTCGATACAAAGATTTTGCGGTAGATAACTTCGTGATAGACTTTGAATGTCGTTGTTTAGAATTAATTGATGAGTTAGATTATCAAAATCTTGTTTATATATTATTTTTTTCTATTTTTAATTATCGTATTATTGATCAAATTATGGCACGATATACTATAAATAACATGTCGAAATACAAGAATTTTGCATCTATATATGCCATGTTTTGAATTATTTTGTGGTTTTATAATATATTCAATGCTTGTGACTCAATTATTATTTTTCTTTTACACAAGTTGGAACCCCAAAACACTTTATTTGAATCATAAAGTCTGTACTTTGAATTAAAATATCAAAACAACTCTATTATGTCTCTTTTTATCTTTGTTATTTAGTCATTTTTATTGTATTTTTACTTAAATTTAAAAATAATTGTTATATTTTAAAATTTTAAATAAAAAGTATTCATTAAAAAGCTTTTTGTTGTATTTGAAATATTCTATGTTGTTGGCCAGACGGTTTTAATTGTGTGGTATAATTTGATAAATTTTGATATTTTCACCAATCATTTTTTCTTTTCAAGTATGTTTTGTTGTTAATTAATTTTATATTAATATAATAATATTTAATGTGTTTTTTAAATCCGAAAGTAACTGTTATTTGAAAAGTCAAGATATAAAAATAAAAATGTCTATCAAAAAAGACAAATTTATCTTGTTTTAATTATTCCAACCTATTTATTTAACAAAACAATGAATTACATTTTTTACAAACAATTATTACAATCACAAGGATAATAAAGTTGTTGAATTAAAAATTATTTAACAAACAATAACACTTTGTATTTTTATAGAGTCGGTATTTTCATTGGTTAGAGCAAACAAGTAACACAACAAAGTAAATATCAGGAATGTGTTATTATTTCTTAATTAAAAAAATATTTATATTTTAAATCAATGTTCATTTTAAATAGAAATGACAATTAAATAATATTTTTTGTTGTTGTAAGTTATTTTTATAAATTAATAAATAAGTGGTTTGTATTAACCAATTTGTTTGATAATAAAAATTCATTTATTAAACATATGTTAATAAAACTAACATTTTATACTATTGACAATAGAAAATGTTATGCATTTAAAAAAAATACAATCAAGACAAAGTATACTCATGTTTTAATAAACCCAACAACAATAAAAGATATAGAAAAAATAAAAACTGTAATCAGCACCAAACGTTTTATTAATTAAAATACAATAACAGCTTTGATAACGAAATATCACATTTGTTACATGACGTCATATTATAAAATTTCGTTTAAATGAATATCTCGTAATTAATCATTTATAACATGAAAATTAATTGATTTTTTATGACAATCTTTTAATTACAAATAACTGTTAAATAATAAATGTTAATTTCTAATTGACTTGAATGAAATTCAAGTCAAACATCAAACGAATTTTCATTTCGTTTTAATGTTTTGGAGTTATTCAATGCACAGAATATATAAAGAATAACTAAAACTCATAAACACAACACACCACATGGCTGAAACGTCAGAAATTGATTTTTCCTCCTTGGAACAGACACTGTTAGACCGAGTCTCGACAAGAACGTATGGCACTATATCCAACAACTGACTAAGTGACTGCAATCAACACATTCATCGCCAAAATCAACACTATGCCCCCGAACAACAAGCAAATTTGCATTTCAAATTTGCTTGTTGTTCATTTTGTACGTTTGAATTCATCACGGGCTCGAAGTATTGGATCTTCGGTGTGACGGGGAAAAACGACGGAACAGCGACTTGTCGTGTGGGTATCTGATGCACCTGATCATTCTGATATGCATTCGCCTCGGCCTCAAAACTATGTGGTTGAGTGGGACATTCATGACGTCCGTCTTCACTGCAATTCAGTACAACTTGTCTACTGATTACATTCCATGTGTTTCTCCAGTTGGAAACAGTGGCAATGGCAGTGAACTCATATCTATAATTACAGGCTTGCGAAAGAGAAAAAAGTTGAGTAAATCATTTACATTCGAAATGCAAAGACCAAATACAACATGGAAAACGCACCAGAGAAGTTCACTCTCAAAATACTCGAAAAGATCAGATTTGCGCCAAGTGCTTCGAACGAACAGGAGTGGAGAATTGTAATCAGCGAGAACAAAATGCACTTCTTTGGAATCAAAGGAAGTTGGGCATTTGCATCACACAAGCACAAATAGCGTTGGCTGGAAATAACGTTAAAAAAGTTTGTAATTGAAAAGCCAGCGATTGGTGTGCCCGGTGACTGGGAGTACTTCATCACATTCACCGCAACTAACTGATGTGACAAATTCATTTTTTATCATTACATTCAAATTTTATATTTTGTTTACATTTTAAAGAAAAGACTCGTAAAAAAAGACTGGAACGTTATATTGTGTGATTTTTGAAATACAAAACAAAAACACAAAGAACATTTATTTTGTAGTCATCCCAATGATTGGATGTAACTCCCTCACAACTATCTCAGGCAACACATTCTTGTTTTCAACAAGAACCTCCTTTCCATTGACCCTGAATTTGAGTACTGGCGGTTGTGCCATCCCCGCTACAATCCCCATCACTTGAAAGTGAATAACACGGTCATTTATCAAGTCAACATGAACACTCTTTCGTGCAAACCCACAAACACAAATCGCTTCTGAACTTTTAATGAGAACTTGAATCTCGTGGTGGTCTTCTATGCCTCGCAAATGAGTAAACACATTCATGACTCAATATATATTAATGACTGGTATGTCAAACTCAACATGTATTTATTATTATAAAAAGATATTATTAATAGTTAATTCTAATAGTTTATTTTAATAACATAAATAACACAAAATTAATTAAATACTAAATAACATGATATATTTCTTATAATTATCTTTACTATAATTATATAGTACATTCAATAATTTAAGTTCAATAAGGTAAAACAACAATTGTATAGTTTAGCAATTTTGGAGATATAACTATATTATATAGATATAGTTATAATAATATTTAGTTTTTAACTTCTATTTTGCCAACCACAGTAGTAACTTAAAAAACTAAACAAAAAGGTGCAAATTAAACCTTATTTGTAAATAATACAACATGGAAATATTTGTCACACAACTTGTTTCTCAAATTAATAAGGTAGAGGAATTAACAAAAAAGACTCCAATTTTTGAACAAACGTCTTTTAAGATGGCAAATGAAGAAAAAGCAATAACAATTGACCAAAGAATTGAAGTTTTGGAAGGTAAGATAGACAAAATGGACGAATTTTTATTTAGAAGAGATCTTCTTGTGAACGAAATTGACAAAGTTTTATACCTTTTAAATTCGATTAAAACTGATTTTGAAACACAAAAAACAGGTATAGTAGAACAAGGAAATACTGAATATAATGAATATATATTACAATTAATAGCACTAGAAAAAAAGAAAAGCCCCATTATAAATATTGGACAAAATCTCAGAGTCAAGGAACTTCACCAAAAATAATAAAAAAATATTTGTTTGATGACTCTATTACACAAGAAGAAAAAAATGTATTTGAAAAATGGACTGGATTAAATGTTGAGAGTAAAGTATTTGATTCAAACAACGATTTTTATGATGTTGGTGACAGCGTTTTTAGTCAGAACATATGTGGAAGAAAAAATCTTGTCTTTTTAATAGAAGATGAAGACGGCGATAAATTTGGAGCAGTTATATATAATAAAATATCTTTACAAAAATATTGCAATTCCCCAAGAGCATTTTTGTTTACTTTTGATTAGAAGCAATACAAAAGTACATGGCATCGGCCCGATTTAACAAACAAGGCATTCTTTTGTAATGATGATCAATCAGAAAACCTTTTTAAAGTATTTGATGTGCTTTATATAAGAAAAGAAAACAGTGAATTATACGATAAAGGTGCTTCCACTTTATTCAAAATGATGTACGGTAATAACATGAATAAAGAAAAGTTATTTACCATGTCAAGACTGACTGTGTTTCAATTGGTTTAATCCGATTTTGATATAATGTTGTGTTTTGTGATATAAAATGTTTTTTTTGTCATTTTTCGATTACATTGATAAATCACTTTTTTTATTTAAAGTGTATACATGACATTAACACTATAATATTATAAGTAAATAATAATATTTTACAAGTTTATCTTTTGACTCAACTGCTGCAGTCTTTTCTTTTTGGTTTTTTTGATGTAAAAATTATTATTTAAAACTTGTTTTTCAACACAACAATTATTAATTAAATACAACAGAACTTAAATTATACCATTTATGTACAGTGGGAGGAAATACAGAATGCTAGAATATAGAGGATGCTCGCAACTATTGGTTATTTTAAATACAAAATTATTATCGATAATAATTCAAATTATTAATAAAATGAAAAAGATTAAAATAAATTTATATTTTGATTGGCATCTTTTTTTCGGCATCTTATTTTCCCTTTATTGTACTACAATTTATTTAACTAAAATAATAAATTGTTGATTATAAAAAATAGGATGACCATGTCTTTAAATATAAAATATGTTTTACATATTCTCAAATAAGAAAGATATTTTTTTTCGTACAAAACCCACTAAATTCATTTGCCATATTAGTTACTATATTTTTTAAGTATATTGATAATAAAATTGATGACTCAAAATACAAATTAGAGGTATTGTCAAAACTCAAAGTTTTGATTTTTATCTACCTCATTCCAATAAGTTTAAAATGCGAACAAAACAAAGAAAACCAGAAAATGTGCATACAGTTAGATAAATATCATATGATGGTTTGTGTGAAATACTTTAATACCATCAACAATTTCATCTCCTTTGCTCAAGTTAGCAAAAAGTGCAAAGAAGTGTTTTCAATGTTTTTTTATAATCCACTTCCCATCAAAAACACAAAAATATTCGACAATATGACATATCAAATTCTTTATAATTCAAACGACATAGCCGTTTCCCATGTCGAGAAGTTTATTAATTTTGAAGTTGATTATGAACAATATTTGAATGATAAAAAATTCAATTTGAAATTCAAAAAGGTTTGTTTGGGGTCTTCCAGTTTTACCAAACGTCTCAATGAATTACTTCAAAAGGATCCAAAATATAATATACCAAAAGAAGTCAATTTTCTTAGGAAATCGTGTTTTGCAAACCAAATAAATTTGACTGAAGTCGTATTGACAAACTCAATTAAAATAATCCCACAATACTGTTTTGATAATTGCCAATAATTGAAAAATATCTCCCTCCCACTTTCTGTTAAGAAAATATGTTATGGTGCATTTTTTTTAATTGTGTTGGTTTGACTACTTTTCTTATTCCAAATACAGTCGTAATCTCTGATGCCATATTCAATGAAAACAATTCAATTTCTACTCTAATATTATACCCAGACACTAATATCACAGATTATTTCTTCTCAAAGTTTAAAATGCTCAATTCTTTGATATTTAGAGGACCAACCAAAATCACTCAAATTGTCCCTTTTAGGTTCCAAGAAGTGGTTAACAGAGAGTGCAACAATGTCACACTTGAAAATAACGATTTGCAAAGACTTCTTTCTCTTGGATTAGCTCGTAATATAGATGGGAATATGTTGTTCAATACCTTTAAAAGTGAATTCTATTTATCAACAGGCATTTATAAACTGCAATTTCCTTTGTAACATACATTTATCAGACAATATAACCTCGTTGGGACAAGCTTGTTTCATGGGATGCGGTTCTTTGGTTTCATTAATTCTTCCTGAAAAACTCGTCGAGCTCCAAAATTGTTGTTTTCAAAATTGCACGAAGTTGACACATGTTAAAGTACCAGATACAGTGACTTATGTTGGGATTAATTCCTTTGAAAACTGTGCTTTAAGAACATTTGATTTCCCATCCCAAACAAATAGAGTGTCAAACAACTGCTTTCCAAATTGTACGAAGTTGGAATCAATAACATTTAAAAATTCAACACACAAATTTTCTTATTGTTGTGCAAAAGGAGCAACAAACTTAACACAAATTTTCGTTCAAAATACTAATGGAAATGCTTAAACGTTTAAAGATGAAGGATACTTTGTAAAACAACTATTAATCAACGGCGGAATGCAAAATCTGTTTTATTGTTTTGACAGAAGTAATTTTGAAGAGTACAAATCATTATATCCCGCTTACACTCGATCAGGTGAAATAGTCAAATTGGTTTTAAAAAATCTGGAAAAACTTGAATCGAAATGCTTTACTGATTGTCCTTTGGAAGATATTGATTTGGATGGGAATATTGTGACTATACCAAGAATGTGTTTCGCTTTAAATAGGCTTACGTCAATAAAACTTAATGACTCCGTAAAAACTATTGAAGCTTATGCTTTCAAGGGGAACTACAAACTCAAATCAATCGAAGTGCCCAAAAATTTGGAAGTGGTGCAAAGAGATGCGTTCGAGCATTGCACTCAACTTGAAAAGGTTGTTTTTAATGATAAAATAAAATACTTAGGAAGAAGAGCATTTTATTATTGCAAAAATTTAAAAGAAGTAATTTATCCAAAAATTATAAAGAGGTGCCATGAGTCTACTTTTGACTTTTCTGGAATCAATAAAGATTGTGTTTTGAAAATGGTGAAGGTTATTTCAAACAAGTGATTTTTACTTATTATTTACAGAAAATGTTTTATCAAGTCAATTGTTTGTAAAGTCTTTAATAAAACCACTTCTTTTAAGTTGTAACACTTTTTAAACATGTAATGGGGAATACATTTAACATTACTAAAATTGTCAAATTTTATAATAGAATGCA